ACGCCTCGAGTAAACCTTCGACTCGATCATATAGTTAATCCCAGTTAATGGCGGGGATCAGGATGTCCTCGATATATGATTTGCGATCAAGCACCGATGGCTTGCCTGGATCTACCGGTTCCCCATCTTCAAACACATCCAGAGTACTTCCGTGATTTTCAGACTTCGGGATCCGGGTGAATCCATAAAGCGCGTTGTCGATCATACGTTGATAGATCTGGGGCGCATTCTTCAAGCCAAAAGGCATTCGATTCCACTCAAATAACCCGAAGGGAGTGATAAAAGCCGAGATCAAGCGAGCACGATCCGTCATTTTCACTACCCAAAATCCACTTGCCATATCCAAAGAGCAGTACCATACCAGAGTGTCGACTCCAGATCTTCGAGTAGGTCGTTGATCAAGGGTATTGGGTATACCATCGGCTGAGTTAGACTATTAACCAACCGATAATCGATGCATAGCCTGATATCCACTCCATTCTTCTTGATGATCACCACGATCGGGGAAGCCCATGGTGATCTAGAGTAGTTGATCATCTCTGATCATCTTGGCAGTCAATAGACCCTTGATCAAGTCCGCCAGCTTCTCCCTGAACTGGGTCTGCAACTTACGACATTTGATGGCGATAGGTCGCGCTCCCCCGACATCGATATCGCACACCACACCTCTAGCCGGCGGCGGAAGGGCATTTCCCTTGCCGATCAAAAGATGCCGGAACTTCCAGATCCTTTGGCGAAGTCGATCAATTTTTTCTGGGGTCTGATTATCCGATCCACATAGCTGAATGTCCTCGATCTTCACATCTTCCGTCGTCACTGGCACTTCTGGCAGTACCGCCATCTGACCATCGACATCTTCTGCGTATAGATCACTTCCTTCATGGTAGTATACACAATCATCATAATCTTGATCTGAGTCCCAGGTGAGGTCCAGATCCGATGCGCCTGGTTAATCTTCAACAACAGGTGATGGATCCATGTCTGTTTTTTTTGCGACATAAGTGCGGCGCATTTGTCATTCAATGGATCACCGGTCACATGTCCCATCCCAGATTGTACACTCATCATTGATGGCAGATCCGATCCGCTGCATTTCGACAGTGATGTTCCTTGATCTTGACCTCTCGAATGTAGTTGATCCTGACTGGCAACTCCAATTCCGTCTCGGTCCTCCTCTTTTCGCGTTTCCACTACGCCTGTGGTTTCTTCCAATAACTGATTAGTCGCCCACACGTCTGACATTACTTGATCAAGATCTTCTAGCGTCTCCTTGACCGTTACGACATGCGATATAGAGTCTACGTCTGCGATGGACGATAGATCCGACTCTTCACTCGCGACAGACGATAGATCCAATGGGCGCATCTCCGACGGCGACTTATCCGACGGCGACTTGTCCGGCGGCGACTTGTCCGAGGGCGGGCAGTCAGGAATATCTTGATCCTGACTCGCCTCGACTTTCCGACGCTGGATCAACGTTGCTTTCGGTCTTTGGAGTATTGCGCGCAGAATTTCATACTCGGGCTGCTCCACCGCGGGCATCGGCGGGTTTTCGACCTCCATTTTTTCGGATCGGGCGTCTGTCGTAGCTTCCAACGCCAGATTCTGCCACTCCATGTAATGACGTGAACCGATCGAGATGAAACCCGGTATCCGTGGTACATGGTCTCCGGCCAGTCAGATCTCGATCCGTTGGTCTTGATGCAGGATCAACACCTCGTCCCCTATGTTGGTGATCGATATATATTTCGTTCTCCCTGGCCCATCGGATATTGTCGGCACCCATCGATCCCCACGCGTGATCCACAGCTTGTCGTGGATCGACGACCTCAGGCGCAATGGCAGTTCCACCGACCCTCCTGCTTGGATCCGAAGATATTGGCCGACGTTGACGATCTTCACCTTGTCACTATAGGTTCTGGATCCACAGTGCGAACACCGATTGCGGTTAAACCCATTACCGTGGATCTTCGAGTTGTGATCTTGATGACCATGATCACGATCCGGAAGTCGTGGATCCAGGTTCGCCGACTCTTTCTCCACTTTCAGGGTGGCATCTTCACTCGCTGCAAGGAAGATCCTGCGATGACTGTCAATGTCAGAGTCAGATCCGCCCGATCCATCAGATTCGCTGTCGGATCCAGAGTCGTCAGCTTGGATCTGAATCGCGCGCACTTGCTTCGCTGGAGCGGACGGGGTGGAGTTGGTTGGCTTCTGCCGGTACTTGCTGGATCCGAACGCGACCTTTGTTACGGTTCTTGGCGCGATCCCGAGCGCGAAGGACTTCTTCAAGATCATCAGCGTCAGTCAACCGTAGCAAGGTTAACCCTTCTGCTAGATCTTGATCCTCAAGTGTCTCGATGTAATGATTCACATGTTCGCGTCGTACATTCGCGCTGCCATCCTTGATCTTCAGTCTTACGCGGAGTCCCGCCACGTTGAGCCGATACAAGTAGTCCAGTGGTGACCCGTCGGATCTGCGTCGCGTATGGTGGTATTGTCTTGCTACCGATACTCCAAGTCCGCAGTACTGGATCTGGAAACTACGCAGCAGATCGCTCCATTTGTTGCGAGTAAATCTGCTCAGCTGGTGATACCAGTTCTTCGCGGATCCAGCGAGAAGATCTGCGAAGGTCAAGCATTTCTCGTCATCCGATGCTTGATCTCGCATGAATGCGGACTTGACTTTGCTGATCCACGCTCGCGCTGATCTACGCTCGCGCTCGATCTTCGTCTTAGTGAACTCCTTGAGATCCGAGATCGCGGAGATCCGAACACGCTGTATCATGGTGGAACTTGTGGATCCAGTAGCAGCGGTGGCCACGTTGGCTCGTGCCGAGGTGGGAAAATCTACATCGTCCAGGTCATACTCCCAGCGAGATCCATGGTCGGAAGATCGAATGGACTCCATCTCGACATCTTGTGATCCTTGATGCTGTGGGCGTATAGAGGCTGGATCTTTGTTCGCCTCCCGTTCTTCGGCCAGGTTTCGGTCCATTGCAGCGTTGA